TTTAGTGATGATCATTTTCAAACCAATAAATTGAATTTCAAATTAGGCTAATTTAACTTATTCAAATTCAGTTCCTGATGGCAGATTTCTGCCCATCATGGTGTATCTGAGTGTCTCACCCTGCAGGACAGCAGCTGGTCTGACTTATTCAGAGACGAGTAGCTGTGCATCTCCGTTTCTCCTGCGATGCTCACCTGCTCGATCACCTTCACACAGAACAGAAAAATATTTGTGCATAAATAATTTGAAAAAGGTGAAAGAAAACAGAGAAATGTGCCACCGGGAACAGTTCAGCTACAAACTGCGTCAGGAATCTCGCTGTCAGACTGAGATGCAGAGTTCACAGTCGGCAGATGATTGTTTGAGCTTCCAAACACCGGAGTGGAAGATCTCCTTCAGACCTGCTGGCAGGTACAGGCGGGCCAGCAGAGTCCAGCTTTAACAGCGTTGAAACAAAAGCTTGGATGTGGGAGGAATTCTGAGCAAGGCAGTCAGTGGGGATGGGAAAGCTGCGGGGCAGTGGGAAGGAGAAGCAGTTTACTGCCTGCACTAATCAGTGCGGTCGGAGCGCTGCTGGGGAAGACTCGGGATGCTTCAGGGCCGTCCCGGTGGACACTGGGAACCTCGGGTGGTGGCTCCAGCTTCGGTGGGACTGCTCAGATTCTCTTGGAAGATCTTTCCAGGAAAACTGAAGAGGACCGTCTACTCTACAGGAAATCTCTGATTCAGGAGCAAAAGTGCACGAACTCTTTAGCTCGGAGGTGACTGAGAGTTCATGTTTCCATGTCTGATGTAGAAAAGCCTGAGTGTGTGTAAGGACCTCATGCTGAATGTGAGCTAGTTCACGGTTCGCGTGTCGAGTGCTGCTGACCTTCTTCCACTCGTCGGCCTGCTGGAAGGTGCTGTAGCCCAGCACCAGCGTCTCCGAGCCCAGCAGCACCAGTTTGAGCTGGTGCTGGATCTTCCTGCTGCTCTTTGACTTGTAGACGAGCTGACAGCCGCGCAGGTTCAACTCCAGCTGAGGCAGCAGGTCGCGGGCGCACTTATAACACTGACGCAAACACAGAAGAAGACACGCAGGTACAAACAGGTCAAACACACCTGAGGCGCTTCAAAGGTAGAGCGACACATAGTGGCCATCAGAGGGACTGCAGCCGCGTGGTGCGTTTGTTCCTCACCAGCAGCGCGTCGTTCCTGATGATGAACAGCTCTTTGCTCCACTGTCCGAGCCACTTCCTCCTCCACAGGTACCCGCAGAGGCGGGACTCTGGCGTGGGCTTTAGGCAGGGCTGTGAGGCGCTCCACTGGATGTAGTGAGCTCTGTCCTTCACAAGCTCCTCCCCTCCATCGTCATCGTCTTCCTCATCGTAGGACTCGTAGTGGCTGCTGTCTGACTCCGCCTTCTCTGGAGAAAGGAAGAGGATGACGTTTGTTTGTGTTTCTACGTCGTGTTCCTGCTTTGTCATCGTGTGTGTTTGCAGATACCAGTGTTGGACACGGTGGCGTCGGCAGGTACGTAAGGTTCTGCCTCCTCGTACGTATCTTCGTCCTCATCGTCACCTCCTAGACCTCCTGGAGGGAGGGGCGGCACCTCGGGGCCCTGCAGCTAAAACATGAACATCAGGTCAGGAGGTGTGAACTCAGTTTCTCTGATTTGTGGTGAAACTTTGATCATTTGAACAATCAGACGAGACGAGACGAGGCTCATCAGTCCCAGCGTCGCCTCTTCTTCACGAAGAGCTAAATGTGTGTTTAGGACTAGTTTGTGTTGCTGTTGGTTCCATGAAGTGAGTCTGAGCCTGGCTGAGTCACCTGAGGAAGTTTTTAGTGTTAGAAAGTAAGTTTGTTTGGTTTTAAATCCTGATTTTGTAACTTCAAACGTGAGACCTGAGCAGATTCATTTGGATCGGTTTGGTTTCCTCTCATTTATTCAGATTTTCTACATTTGTCTGTTAAGATGAATTTGTCTGATCTCACACTTACTGGTGATTTCTTATAAATTTACTGAGAATTTAATCTTTAAGAGAGCAGTGTGTGTGTGTGTGTGTGTGTGTGTGTGTGTGTGGGGGTGTGTGTGTGTGTGTTTGTGAGAGAGAGAGAGAGGGAGTGACAGGAAGTCCAATGTTTACATATGATCTCTTTGCTATCGGTCTTCCTATTGGCTCAGACCTGTGCAGAGGGAGGAAGTGGTCACCGATGGCGGTTGATTAGCATCTGGGCTACGTGATGGATGGAAAACACACACACACACACACACACACACACACACACACACACACAGAGAGAGTTGTGCTGCCGTCTCCTCCCAAACCTCAGGAGGACTCGGTCTGTCATTACTGACCCACATCACAGAGCAGCCTCCTCCTCCTCCTCCTCCTCCTCCTCCTCCTCTCTTTCTCTCTTTCTCTTCTCTTTGACCTCAGAAGAAAAATCCTGAAGCTGCTCAGAAACAGATTTTTGTTTCTTCCTAGTAAAGAAATTTGTGTCCACATCATCGTGTTTGTCACACGAAACTTTCCCTCCACCTGTCGCTCCTGCTCTTCATCACGAGGAGTGTGATCAGCAGCTGTTACTCACTCTGGTGCGTTTGATTTAACCACCATCTCCTGAACAGAATAAAAGCTCTTTTGTGACTTTTATCTCTGTTTTCAGAGCTTTTTGATCCATAAACTAAGACTTCTTGTTATTTATCAGGCAGATAATAAACTACATTCACATTTTTAGACCCAACCTTGAGACGTGTTTTTATTAATCAGGCCCAGCAGTCAGCCACTTCATGTAATTAATTAATGAGATAATTAAAATATGTGATTAATGAGCTGCACGTGCAGGAGGATTATCTGTTATAGACGCTGCAGCTTCACACTGTGTTTGTATAGTTTAGTCATCGTTTTTCTATTATTTCTGTTTGTGTTTTATTTTATTTTAATATTTTATTTTTTTTACTTACATTTTACTCTTTTTTATTCATATTCAGTCTAAACTAATACATTTTTATGTTGTTTTTAATGATGAGTTTTCATTCACATTTCATTGTTGCTGTATTGTTTGTTTGTTTGTTTGTTTGTTTTCATGTGTTGCTTCAGTTAGCTCAGTGGTGGAAACCAGTATGACCAGTAAGGCTGATGCTCACCCCGTTCCTCAGCCATGCAGACAGGTCCTGATTTAAGACCAGCTCAGAGGCCCGGACAGCTGTGGATACAACAACAACAACAACAACAACTCAGAGCTTTCATGACGTCAGGAGTCGCAGGTTTACGTGAGCTCTGTTTGAGTGAGAATCGTATTTCGCATTATTCCGATGTGTCTTGAAGGCAGCATTAAGGTGTACCTTTTGCAGGTGTGTCTGTCAGCTCGTTGCTAGGAGACGATGATGGACAGCTCATGATCATGTACTCGGCATCTTCCACTGAAAACACAGCAGGAAACACTTTTATTCGGGTGTCTGTGGGTTTGGGAGTACTCTGAGTATCAGCAGTAATGTGAGTACTGGTGTGTTTGTACCTGGAGCGTCCTGATGCTGCAGCGTGGACAGCAGCTCTGAGATGGATTTCTTCTGAGCCTGAGCGATGTAGCTCAGGTTCTCTGAGTCCAGAACAGACAGGAAGGACTGCAGATCCCAGATCAGCTTGGCCAGCACTGGACACAGACAGACAGTCAGTCGGACGGATGGACGGACGTCTGTTTGAGCTCATTAACCAGGAAAATCAGTTTATCTCGACCTCACAGCGAGTCACAGTTTAACCGACTGCTGAGCCGTGAGTCACGTCTGTTCTCACACTCTCAGTATCTGATGTCGCTGTTTACACGCCAACAGACACTCTGTCTGTCTGTCTGTCTGTCTGTCTGTCCACAGACGCTAATGTTGAAACTTTGCAGCAGAAACAAACATGTTTACAGCCTGACACACAAACTGTTTAGTCTCTGTGGATCCTTTTCCTCCTTCATAACAACTATGGGACGGACGGGATGGTCATAGTTTGCATTATCAGGGGGCGTGGTCTCTTTGACTGACAGGTGGATGGTGACACAGGCAGCTTCACCTGAACTGGACCCCTGGACTCCAGCTTACCACTCCACACTCTCATCCATGGACGCTGATATCTCAGTCTTGCATTTTCTTTCTTCATTTTGGTCCAGCCATGGGGGGGGGGAGGGCTGCCTCCTGTGCTCGTGCTCAACAGGGTGTCGGTGGAAATGATGCTGCGGTTTATTGAAGGCCAAGGAGGAGGGTGGGAGGAAGGCATGTTAGGAGGAAGTGAGAGAAAAGGAAAACAGGAGTGTGGAGGTGACGCTGGGGCCAGAGGAGAAGAGGAGGATCACCGATGTAGTGACGGAGGACGTCCACAGGGTTGGTGTGGGAGGATGCTGAGATGGGGGGAGATGAATAATAATAATGTTCTTCCTTCGTTTCCGAGTGGAGTGATTGATTTTGGCCGTCTTCTCCTTCAAATCGACCCCAACACTCATTTATGTGACTGAACATGGACGGTGTAGGTTCAACCACACTATCGGCTGCTTGGTTGGAGCTGATACAGCAGCTGAACCAGCCCAGGAAAAAAATAAGTGGATACAGCAAAGTGAGCGTCTGACCCACAGCTGCAATTTACATGAATCCAGATGTGATTCATGATTCTGAAATGTAAAAATATCTAAAGACTGAAGGGACCTATATGTATATAGGATGTTAAAAACTGCATGTTTGCATCATTTCTTTGAGATTTTGGGATTCACTATGAGGACAGTGTGTGTTTGGGCAGATGGTTACTGTGGCAGGTGGGTGTAAGCTGGCCGAGATAAGATCCATTGTTGTTTTTGTTTCTCTGCTCTGAGTTTCAATAATGAGTTTTTTCTCATGTGATAAGAAAAAAGAAACAACGAACTTTTCGAGTTGCTGTGCTCTGCAGGGATTCAGGAGATGTCACTGTGTTTACTCTGCGTTAAATATTGGCAGGAGCCAGGAGCTTATCAGTTTCATCCTGTCATCAATTAACACGTGAAGGCCAGGACATCTGCATATTTGTGCAGCGAACGTTTACCTGAACAGGTGCGGTCCGACTGTTGTTCTGTATGAAACTGACTTTTACGTGTGAATCACATTTTATGACGATCATCTGAGGATGCAGATGAGGAGCTGATGTGTGTTTCTGTGTGAGAGTGAAGAATCAGCATCTTGTTTTTCTGCCTTTGAATGATTTCAGCTCTTATCTTCTGAAGTGAAACAGAGTGAGTATTCATTCACACACAACAACGGCTTCATTCATAACACGAACACAGACGGACTTCATCACAGTTTTCATGTTTAATCAACCTGCTCGTAGCAAACTGACCATCCCCCGTCAGCTTATTACAGAACAAAAACATTTAGTGAAGGTAAGAGCAGCCTGTCAGGGCCTTTGTTAGTTTAACATGAATCCTTAAGGATGTCCAACAATGCACAGTTATATTCGTTTTAAAAAAAACAAAACAAAAATGTAACAAAAGCTCTGAAAACTGTTTTTTTTTTACCTCTCACCACCTTAAGCACTCCCAGGACCTCCTAAAGGACCACACCTAGAACCTGCCTAATATAAACTACATAAATCATCACTATAATCATCATAAGGACATCTAGAACATGGCCAGTAGAACTTCTAAATGAAAACAGGAACCTCTGCAATCTCCTACAGGGTAGCGCTGGGTGATATGGCCTAAAATCCATATCGCGATATAATTTGAAGCACATGCAGTAACGATATATATCACGATATATTCTTTTCTTCTGTATAACGTATTTTCCACACTTAAAATCCTTTAATTTTCTCAAAAATCGAGAGTGTGCCTTATGTATGAATTCTGGTTGTGCTTACTGACCTCGAACTGATTTTGGCAGAAATCTGTTAAAAATGTTTTAGTACAACTTTGGTAAGC